TATAGCCTAAAATATTTACTCTCCAGCCCTTTGCAAAAAAAGTTTACCAACAGCTGGTCTAAAATGATCTGATCAGTAAAATTATTTTAGCCCCACCTATTTCTCATTTTTATAATACATCTATGTATGTATACATGCATTTAGAGTGTATAATATAACTACTTACATAAAGGATTTACAACTACCTCCTAATGCTTCCTAAATCACTATGCCTTGGAAATAGATTCCTATGGAGAGTTCACAATAATGGATGGTATTTATCTCACTTCAGAGTAAAATGAAAAGGAGGTGCCACTTTTACCCAATAATTTAGTTTGAAAAAATTAAAATTATAATGCCCAGTGTTAGAGGGAGTATGGACAAAAAAAAAAAAACATTTCTACATTAACTGTAGCAGTGTTAAATGACACAATTTATCTGGAAATAGATGACAAAATCCATTAACATATTTACACACTTTGACATAGTAAATCCACTTCCACAAATCCAAAAGCATGAAAGTACACACACAAACACACACACACAAAGGTATTCAACAAAATATTACTTACAAGAGTTATCCACCTCTACCATTTTTCCCCCGTTAACAGCCCTACCATTCAGCAAATTATATAAATGGGAAACTTTGGCGCTATCCTTTCTCTCACACCAATATAGCCAATAATTCCTCCTCCCTAGTTTTCTACATCTGGTTTTTTTTTTTTTTTTTTTTTTATCTCTGCAGCTATTAAATACAATCCAGTCTTAAGAACTTGTCATTTCTCTTCTGGGTTATTACAATATCATCTCGAGGCTGGATCTGCATTTGTGAGGCTGAAAGCTTACACAATTTGGGGGCCCTTTTAAAGAAAAGGAATGCAAAATTGTGAATGTAAAATTTTGAATACAAACTTTGGTGGGCACTCCAATGTCACCCAGCATTGACAGATGCATAATATGGAGGGGTAGAGGTATAGAAAGAGAAAGCACTCATAACAGGTTGAAGTTAAGAACTTAAACTTTTGCAACATTTATAAAAACATATGACCCAGGAGAACACATTCTAGGGTCCCTACCAAAATGCTGCAAGGGACCCATGCAAGCTTGATTTACTTAAGCTTTATTTCCGCCTCTTGGTATAGCTGGCTCCTTCCCCATCTCTTTGTTTCTAAGGTTTGTAACTTCTACACCGTTCATTCAATCATACGCTGAAGATTTAATTTTTCTAAAATGACATTCTAAACTTCTATTCCTTCCCTCCTTTTCTTGCCAATAGAATAATTGGCACAAAATTCTCCCATGATTTCACTCCCATCTACTTCTCCAAGCCCATTCTCTGTTGTTCTAGACATGCTGCATTATTTACAGTTCCTTGTGATGTTATTTCCATCCTCCCATACCTTAGCAGGTGTTCTTCCCTCTAACTGAAATGTATTTTCTCCTCTTTTCTAACTAATGTATTTCTACTCGAGGTTCTATTTCAACTTACCTCCTATAGCATTCCCAGACCCGACAACAGCGTTGACAGCAACCTCTCTGGTCACTCTTCCTCAGTACTGCACTTATCATCTATTATAAGGACTCATTCTCATTCAAGGCCTGTGTCCCCTGACAAATTAAAAGCTCCTTAAGGGCAGAAACCTTGCTCTAGCCATCTTTATTCCTAAGTGCCTACACTGAGTAGGCGTTCAGTAATCCTCAGTTAAATGAATGAATGAAAAAGGAGGAGAAGCAAATGTACCAAAAGGCTTGTTCTGTTGCTTCGGTTATTGGTATTGTTAGCAATTTTTTTACCCTTATTTTAAAATATTTTTATGTGGCTATATTTGTTTTATAATGGGAAATTTAATTTACAATTAAATATTTCTTTGAGGCTTACTCTAATTTTCATTAGATCTGCTACCCAATTCTCTTAAAACCCTGCACACCTGTGACAGGCTTATTTACATGGCCAACAGTCTACTTTATCTGAAATCATAGTTAGATCCCTGTACACAATTAGCTAAATAAATATCATTAGTGCAGCTTCATCAAAGTGCATTTTTCTTAAATATTTCTCAGTACACATATTTCTCAGTAAGTAAGCATCTATTAGAGTTTTGGCAAGGAAAATCTTATCATGGACTTATTCCTGCAGGTATATACCTCGGGTCTTAACTGAAAGGAATAATGAAAACTTTTTGCCATCTGGAATAAAACAGTGACAAATATTGCAGGATTGAAATTATGCTCATATGCATAAAGCCATGTTTCCAAGTCACTATAATAATTCTTATCTCCCACCTAGGATGTACTAAAGAATTGTTTTTAAAAGGAAAATATCAAAACAATCTGATAATTCTCCTAAATATAATCCCCATTGAAGTTGAACATATTTTATCCTTTTTTAGTTAAGCTATCATTATCATTATCCAGTAAATGCCTGCAGGAATTTTATAGCAAACAGTTTACTCTTTTTCTCTAGCACGATTTAAAATGTTGTTTTATTATACATTGTTTAAATATGCCCGATGTGAAGCCAACCACACACACACAGAACATATTCGGGTGTGAAAATAGGTTAAAAGCACCAAAAAATGCAAAAACACAGGCCATAGGAATAACATTACCAAACTCAAATTGACACTATTTTAGAAGCTTTAGAAACATTTGAATCCTGGCATAATCTATACTTCGAGTTCGAGCAGAAATTCATTTTCTGGTAAATGGTATGAAGATGTATCAAAGGCTGTACCACAGACGTGTTCCTTTTTCTCCTTTGTGCAAGGCTTGTTGTTCTGAGTTCATGTGATGGCACCACATTATGTCCCAGTAAGAGCTCCTCTTCTGGATGGGTCCATGCCCAGCCAGCCTGGTTTGATTGTTTAAAGGAAAGACAACATTCTCCTTATTGCACGGCCTGCATATAACAGTTGTCTGAGATGAAGTGTACAAGCTATAGACTCACCTAGTTATGGTGCAGAATCTCTGCACTGGCACTTCAAGGCCTATGTGACCTTGAGGTCATTGAACCCTGGTGTGATGAGTTGAATTGTGTCCTCTACCCAAATTCATATGTTGAAGCCCTAACCCCAGTATCTCAGAAAGTAACCTTATTTGGAAATAGGGTCTATGTGGAAGTAATTAGTTAAGATGAGGTCATTAGTGTGGGCCCTCATCCAATATAACTGATGTTATTTAAAAAGGGGAAATTTGGACATAGAGATAGACATGCATAGAGGAAAGATGATAGAAAAAGACATAGAACCATCTAGAAGCCAAGGAGAAGGTTCTGGAACAGATTCTTCCCTCACATCTCTCAGAAGGAACCAACCCTTCCTGAGGCTTGATTTCGAACTTCTGTCCTCCAGAACTGTGAGGAAACAAACTGACGTTTATGTCACCCGTTAGTGGTACTTTGTTACAGCAGCCCTGGCAACCTAATAATACATCTGGTTTCCTCAAATGTCAAATTTTTAATATAAAATAACCAGTGTCAGAGGAATGGAAGGGGCTACTTTTTTCCACAAGCCTCTAGAGAGGCTTCAAAGGAACAGTTTAGAGGGCCTGGATGCATCTCCTGGGGTTTGGGAGACACCTGGACTGCAGATCGGCTCCCACTCTGAAATTCTAGAGGACAAGAGAGTTGATCTGGGAGCATCTCTGGAGTCTGAGAAGTACCTGTGCCCTCTCCTGCCCGTGAAAGTTCATAAGATGCAAGTTTGCATGGAGCAGGTGGGGGCCACGTGTGAGAAAGTCAGCCGGAAGCCTGAGAAGACCACCTGGAAGTATTCATGAGACACCAAATGAGAGTCCATGGCAAATGGACTCTCTGAAAACCAGCCACTGAGTGGCAGGTGGGAAGCTGAAGGAAAAGCTCTACCCAAGCCAGGAGAGCTGAAGCAAGATAAAGCCACCAAAGACCCCCAAAAGTGACCAAGTGAGAGTCACTGTTAAACATCTTCCAGGCCCAGAAGGCACAAAGCCAGCTTAACATAGCACCTGTTCAAGTGAGAAACATCCTGAGCTACTTTCCCCTCTTCTTTCCCATGCTTCAACCCTTAGGGTTCAGCAATAACAACTAGGAAGTAGGGGTAGAAGGTGACAGACAGAGAAAGAAAATGAAATACCTTTTCCCACTGCAATAGTCCAACTCAAAAATGGGCCCCAATGAGGGAGGGGAGATAATTTGATATTAAATTAACTTTGAAGCTATGATTATGATCTGAATATGATATCAGACATGATGGTTTCTGAAAGGAGATTATTTTTGTGACTTCCAATGTCCAGAGGATTTTTTTTTAAATCTAAGAGTGAACTTACAAAGATTGCAGCCTGCCTGAGACCTAAATTTTACCTGGAGCCAAGGGAATACCTACCACCCTTCTCCAATGTATTGCAAAGAACAGCAGGAAACAAAAAGTGAATGGTGTTTTGATTGATTTCCTAAGTTGTATTTCTTCAAAGATCTGTTACAAAAGAACCCCCAAATATGGTGGGGGGAGATAAGGGCAGTGGGGAAAGAACCTTCTTTTTTGGGTGGAGTCTGGATCTCAGAAATGGCTGGGTGGTACATTCAGGCAGATGGAACTGCCCGACCTCATGGCAGAGCATGACACAGGGGCCAAGAACATGTGCAATGTACTTTGGAGTAACAGTGTCAAAAATAAAGAACTTTTTAACATCCCAGAAAGTTTCCTCTAGATGGGCTGGAGCAATAGCATGCCCCCTGTGTGCACAGGAGGTAACTGAAAAAAGCTAAGAGGAGGCAGGAGATCCTCCAAGACAGATCAAGGTGGAGCTCAGCAGTGCTCCACAAGTACTGACAAGGGAGGGGAAGATGCATGTGTCAAGGTGACAGCCAAGCAGCTGGGGATCCAACCCTCAAGCAAGCACTTGGCATCTTATAACCTCATCTAGAACTCAGATGCCACCTCGGATGGCTGCCAGGCGGCTAAACGGAGGATTCGAATATCATTTTGGTTCAGTTACAGAAGAATAAAGAAAGCTGCATTTCTTGTACCTTTAGACAAGAGACATACCTGCCACATTTGGAAGGGCTTGCCCAAGACTTCTAACGATCCTCTTGAAGTATGTCTCTGCACCTTGGACTGGTCAGAAAGCCTAGAAAAAAATAAGAGCCAAGTCATTTCAAGGCAGGCTCACAGTGTAACAGAGATGGGGTTGACTCTTTGAAGTGTTAGATCTTTTGGGAAATACCACTGGATTGCAATAAGCTGAATGTGACAGAATACAGTACATTTACTAACTGCAAAACCCTTAAAATCTTAAAATTCTATGCACACAAATATAGAATGGTCAGCAGAAGGAAAGAAGATAGAGTGAATCGGCCTGTTTGGTTTATTTTTGAAAGAAAATGCTCCCAATCTCAAAACAACATATAGAGGACACATAGTAGGGCATTTTAAAGTTTCTATCCAAGATTTGGAATTTTTAAAGGCATCAAACCTGTTTCAGATGAAAGGAGAAAAATAAGTCTAGGTAAGGAAATAGACTGTGACAGGGATGGTACTGTATGTAGCGTGTTCAAGGAGAAACCTCTCTCTGACAAGGTGACATTTGAGCAGAGACCTGGATGAAGTGAATGAGCAAGTCAGAGGAAAGAGCTTTCCAGGCAGAGGAAATAGCAAGTGCAAAGGCCCTGTGGTGAGAGTTTGCTACGCATGGTTAGGAACAGCAGAAAAAGCCTCTGTGGCTACTATATGATAAGTGAAGGGAGAGAGGTAGGACATGAATAAGGTTGGAAATGGCAAAGGAAAGGCTTCAGATTTAAATCTAGAGGTATTTAGAGGAAATTTTGTGTTTTTCTGAATTAAATATTTTAGTTTAAGATAATTGTCAATTCATATGCAGTTATAAGAAATACTACAGAGAGACACTGTGTACCCTTTTTCCCAGTTTCCCTCAATGGAAACATTATTACATTTGAAGATAATTTCTTACCGACAGCATTTGTTAGGTCCTATTTTTTAAAGACTCTGACAATCTGTCTTTTAATTGTTGTATTTAGATCATTTACATTTCATGTAGTTATTGATATGTGAGGGCTTAAGTCTGCAATTTTAGTTTTTGTTCTCTGTTCTTTTCTCTACTTTCCGTTTCTCTGTGTTCTTTTTCTTGTCTTCAACAATTTTTATGATTCAATTTTGACTTATCTAGTGTGTTTTTGAGTGTCTTCTTGTATAGTTTTTCTTAGTGGCTGTTTTAGGTATGACACGTATGCATAATTGTCACAGTCTGCTAGTGTTATCATTTTATCAGTTCGAGGGAAGTGTGTCATGAATCACTGTGTCATGCTTATGGACATTTCTATAACCTGGTGACATTCTTAAAATTAGGAATTTAAACATCAGAATAAATGTAGCCATGTGAAATACGGTCCTGTTTGCACACACATTCATACCACCTCTAAAAATCAACTAAGAAATGGTTGGGATTAGTTAGGAAAAAACAAAAAACAAAAAAATCCTAACTCTGATTTGAAACACCAAGACTTCTCTCACTTGATGCACACTTGTGAAGATAATATGTTTTCTAATGCATTAAAATGAATAGTAACCTGAAAAGTCTTTTAAGTCTGAACAAAATTTTTTTATTAATTTTATTTTTCATGACGTAGCCTGTTCATGGCCTGTTAAAATTTTAAATAGGCTTAACAATTACATAGTGTTCACCCTAACAATTTCCTAGACTAGTGTTCATCTTTCACAGAAAATAGATTTCAGGTAGTTGGAGTTAACTTCCACAAGGTCACAGGTGAGTCAGTGACAGAGCTGAGCTAGAACCAAGTTCTGATGACACTGAACTACATAATGAGAAATAAAAATATTAACTTTCTATCTAACACGTGTCAACAGTCTGCTTTGGAAAGCAGTTATGCTTCATTTCCTTATGGAAGGCAAAATAAGAACATGGCAGATGGAATATTAACACTCATCTACATTGGAATTTAACCAGGACACTGGGGTTTAACTTACCCACTTGCCAAAAGTAGCAACAGATAACAAATAAACGGCCCAATTATCGATATTATTGCAGACACTAACCCACAAGAGGTTCCAAACCTGAAACTGTAAGAGTTAATATGTCCCTCTTGACTGTGTATCAGTGACATTTTCCCCATCTATTCGGGATACCACAGAGTGGCGAATTTGAAGGACATAGGCATATACTACACATTATGCAGTTGTACTCACTTTAGATGTAAAAACACTTGAGTGTGGGCATAAGAGACTGTCCTCAATTCCCAAAATGTTTTCTATATCCCCTGATTCATTTTGTGAAGGATCAAACCTCTAGCTTGTACCTCTGAGTGACAGACTTCCCCTTTTAGTTGTGAAATCTTCTGTGATCCAAACTAAAGAAAAAATTCTTGCTCATCTCCCATTTATATTCACAGTCAGATACTATAATTAAATAATAGAGTTGCATTTACTTGGGCTCAAATCCATTAATTTTTTTTTCTTATTTTTACTCATCTCTTTTCTCTGAAACGTATCCCAGTATTATTCTTATCCTTGAGCACACAAATACACAGATCTGTGAATCTATAATGAGATCTTCCTATTTTTTTTAAGAATAGATTTTGCTTTTGATTAAATGTCTAAATTGCCTCCACTTAGATGCTGTCTAAATAAGAACAAATACCTGATCCCCCTGGGGGAAAAAAAAAAATCAAGTTTTAACAGCTGACCTCCTAGCCAAGTACATGTATTGTGTTGACTCCAGGGAAAATCTTGGTTCACAAGCTAGCTTGGGTTCCTTGACCCAATGCCAGCAGATGGTGAATGTGCTAATAACCTGCACCAAAGTGCAAGTTCAAATGCCCTTCCGTTCTAGCCTAGCGTTCTGGCCACAGGATAAAGCACTCTTTAGCATCATGCCTAGAGAAAGCCATCTGCCTTCCTCTCAGCCAGCGGTGCCACATGTGATGAAGGGCAGGAAAAGAGAAAGGCAGCGGAGGTGCGAAACACTCCGGTAGGGAAGTATCTCGATTGCAAAGAAAAACCAAACCAGACAGCCGAAACTGTGTCTTGTCTGACTCTTTCACCAGGCAGACCTACCACATTCCCAGAGTTTTGTTTTTAAGAGGAGAGAGGAAGCTCACAGAGTCTCTGTATTCCCACGTCCAATGTTGTGCTCTTGCCACATGCCTGTGAAACTCCCTTGTCAACAGAGCTTTTACCCTTGCCTTTTTCTCCTTTTCAGGATTCTTTCTCCAAATCCCCAGCACACTGACAGCAGTGATCTCAAAGGCATTTCTATAGCCCATGCAAATTGTATTTCTTTGTTTGCCTCCTGGAAGTGGGGTGGGAATGGGAGAGAAGTGTAAAAGCCCCCCCAAAGTGGCTGCTGAAACCAAAACAACCCATGAAAGCTCATAACATTTTTCGCTAGTTTGCTGTGTAAATCCCCCTGCTAATGCTGTGGTTTTTAACATTAAAATGTAAATAGATAAACTCCTCTGCTGATATTCCTGGACTAAAGGTAAAGTTAATACTTTTTAGATCTAACATCTAAAAAGCAGTAGACAAACACACCAAATCCCTTCAGTACAGACCATAAACGGTTTATAGGAAGACGCTCTATTAATTCGTTTTTTGTTGTTAATTGGCCACATTTTTATGTAAGAAGACTTGTTTCCCTTTCCAGCCATGGTATCACCACAGATCAAATGTAAACGATAAGATAATTGACATTTAGTTTGGAGAAGATAGCACATAATATTTTAATGCTTTTTATAACACAAAGCCGTAATTCCTGATTAAAAGCAAAATTCCTGAAAATACACCAAATTCTATATTAAAAAAAAAAAAGTAATCCCAAATTAAGCACTCAGCTGATATAGTCAAGAGTGAATGGATAAAGATAGTAAGATCAATGTACCAATTTGTGGGTTAGGCTGGTAAAGTTTGCTGCATCCTAAAGCTCTTGGCCCAAACTGAAAGTACACAGTAACAGTGATTTTCAAGCCCCAGCTATGGAATAAGATGAAATTCCTGGTCCTGATATTAGTGTCATAGACAGTTTCAACCCATCTCTGACTACTAAGTCAAATTAAATAAATACAGTATTGTTGAGCAATATCTGCAACATACTTTGCTTGATGAAGTAGAGAAAACAAAGTCATTAAAACTTCCTAATAAAGAAGCTGTGATCTAACTACTTCAAAGTTGGAAAAGTCATTAGCAGAGAAAGAAGTCAAATAAGAACTGCATTCCAGAATGTCAGGAAAGGAGTGTTACAAAGAAACACACATTTGTGTAACAATATATGAAAAATTAAATACGACCCAAAATACAATAACGTCAAAACTTCCAGAAAATTCATCTTGGACTTCTGAAATTCTTGGATCAGAAAGAGAAAAGCAGAAAGGCGTGGCATAGCAGTGAGACAGTAGATGGTCTCTCCTGGGCACTGAGAGGGCAGGAGGAACCTGAAGAACCGGGCATGCCGGCAGGCCCAAGCAACAGCAAGACAGGCCCTGGATTTTTGGAAGAAGCCAGAGATACCAGGACCCACAGATGTCATCTCAGGAGCTCTGAGAATCAGGTCTTCAGAATCCACAACCCATTCAGTCCTTGTTTTTTCTCCCCAGGGTGGCCAACAGTCTCTCTACTAAGAGATCCTTGACCAGCCTACGTTAACATACCCATGAATTTCCAGCTTATACCCCATCACATACTCAGTCAAAGGAAGATGCTATCATGGATGAACCCACTTTTCCTCCTCAAATATCTCAGCACTAATAAATCAACCTCAGAAGTTAACTCCACAAAGAGTTACATAAGTCTTCGAATGCCAACACCTAGGCAAGGAAACACTATGACTGAAACACAGCCTTAGGAAAGCAAATCCAGTCACTCGACTAATAACTAATAATTTCAAGTAATGGTTCAGTTCCTGATTTGGTAAGATGAGATTATATGGGGAAGTGATTATATGACTATGTACTGAAAATATACACAATAAGGTCCATACAGTGAAAGTTATTTTTATTTTGAGCATTGATATGCAGAGTGTAGTAAAAATACTAATACTACAATATAGCAAAATTATTACTAGCACAAACTCCAAAACTTACGCTGGGTTGAGTCTTCCAT